CAAGGGCCAAGCACCAGGCACAGCCAGTGGATAAGGGGAGGGGAAAAGAGTTGGGTATGGATGAGGCTCAAAGGATTCAGCTTCCAGGTGAGCACTGATTCTGAGGATGGCAATTGGGTAGACCACTGATACAGGATCCAAAGATGCACCCACAGACACTATGGCTAGGACCACTGGAGTTGTGATGCAGAAGCCAGGAAGTGAAGAGGATCAGAACAGGGAGAAGGCATGGGGCCATAGCCAGTCAAGACATGGCTGGCCAGCAGCCAAGCCTGTCAATGCCAGTGATCAGACCAGTAGAGGCTGGAGCTGGTCAAGGAGACCAACAAAGAAGGCAAAACCAGCAGTTGACAAGGATGTGCAGGACTGGTGAGGCATCAACAACCCTCCTGAGTCCTGGGAGGTAGTGCTGGAAGCTGAGCAGTGTGTGAGATGCCAGGACAAGAGTTGGCCCTGTATAGTGCTAGCTGGCAGGGCATGCTGGCAATGCCACTGTACCAAATACTCATGCAGCTTGTTCAAGGGGAGGGGAGACAAGTCTGAGATGCAGCAAAAAGCCTCCCATTCAAGGCCTCACCAGGAATGATCCCCAGAAGACATGGCCAGCCTTCCCACCACTTCAATGCTGTCTGTGCCAGCTCCATTGACCAGTCAACAAGCCAAATGTCAAAGGGAACCAAGCCAAAATCAATCCACTGGTCCATCCAAAGTAACAAGCTGTCATTCATCTCCTGGCCCATGGACTGGCCACCCCAGTAAGTTATTCACAGTCCTATGTTTTTCACTAATTGGTTGAACTAATATTTCTATTGAGTAGTGGAAATTATTACTCTGTCATGGCTATCCTGGTCACAGTCTCATGCAAGAAGTGTTGCAACAGACCCACCCATCACTCCAGCACCAACTACTACAACTGGTGCTGATGATCCATGCCATTGTGACAAGTATCAGGAAGAGGTTACCATCCTCAAGTGGGAGAATGCTGACATGAGGTGGGAGATAGAAGTAACCCATACTGAGCTTGCTGCTCTCCATCAGGTGGTAGATGCTATCTGTAATCACCTATTCCCAGCCCCAGATGTGCTTAACCATCCTCCGGTCCCATTTCATGCTACTTCCAACCCTACACTGGTACCTCACATGCTGGTCATGGTGGAACTTGGCACTGCAACTGGTGTTGTAGAGGTTCAATCATCCTGAAGTGGCTCAAGACAGGAGTCCACTGAACCCCCCCTGGCTTCATTTGAGGGAGGTGCCAGCTTGGAAGTACCTCCTTCAAATGTTGAAGCTGTGCATGGACCTGCTGGAGGTCTGGCAATCTCTATCACTCCACCACCAGCAGTCAGATCAGCACCCAGACAGGAAGGTAGGATGGAGGTCAACTAACAACAATGTACTTGTCATTTCACAATCCATTTGTGTTTTTTTTGTCTTTGTACTTGTACTTTGTAAGATGCAGCAATATATTCTATATTGTCAAAATGTGATCTCCAGGAAGAAGTAGCTACCACTACTGGTAGTTGTTACTGTATGATTCAGATACTGGAAAACCAATCTGGTATGGTGATGTCTGTACCAAGGCTGTGGTGTTGCAAGTGCTAAGGGCCAATGGAATCATGGTTCACCTAGGTGATTGAACGATGACTGGCCAGCATAACTCAATTGTTTTGCTGTATAGCATGATGATGACTTTCATGGTATTGTTCTGGCTTGCTGGAGGCCATAAGGCATTGAATTCACAGTTTAAATGTACTGGGTAGTTGGCTAGTCTTCTGGTCATTACCAGAGCCACCATTGTGGTAATACATGCATCTCCAGCATGGTACTGGTACCAGTATGTACATACACTGTGGACCTGCTCCCAGGAGGTCAGGCAGGTCAGGCATGGCATGATATAATTTCTGGGTGGGCCTCCATGGCATTGTCACTGGGATGGTGTTCATGGCATTGGTGCTGGGACAGCTTGACTGATGGCCTCATGGCATTGGGGATGTGCCAGAACTCATTAAAATGGTGCTGTGACAGCCTGCATGATGCCCTCATGGCATTGGGGATGTGCCAGAACATATGGCATAGGTGCTGGGACTGCTTCCATGGCATTGGTGTTGTGCTGGAGCACATTACATGGTGCTGGGATGGCTTGCATGATGGACTCATGGGGAATATAACAGAATACATGGAACTGGTGCTGGGGTGGCTTCCATGGCATTGGTGTTGTGCCAGAACACATTACAATGGTGCCAGAATGGCCTGCATGATGGCCCCATGGCATTGGGGATGTGCCAGCACTCATTACACAGGTGCCAGGATGGCCTGCATGATGGACCTGTGGCATTGGGGATATGCCAGAATACATGGAACTGGTGCTGGGCTGGCCTCCATGGCATTGGTCCAGTGCTGGTACACATTACAATGGTGCCAGAATGGCCTGCACAATAGGCCTCATGGTATTGGGGATGTGCCAGAATACATGGCATAGGTTCCAGGATGGCTTCCATGGCATTGGTGTTGTGCTGGAACACATTCCAATGGTGCTGGGATGGCCTACATGATGGCCCCATGGCATTGGGGATGTGCTGGAACACATGGACCTGGTGCTGGTGCTGGCTCACAATACATTGGTGCTGGGACATCTGCCATGATGGCCCCATGGCAGTGGCAATGTGCTGGAGCACATGGCATTGGTGCCAGCATGGCTTCCATGGCATTAGCATTGTGCCAGTTCACATTAAATCAGTGCTGGCCAGGACAGCTTCCATGGCATTAGTCCTGGGTTGGTGTTGGCCTGGCTCACATTGCATTGGTGCTGGGATGCCTTGAATGGCATTGGTATTGGGTCTGCCCACATGGAATCGATGCCAGAACAGCCAGCATGGCTTTGGTGTTGTGTTGGCCTGCATGGCATTGGTATTGGGCCTGATCATATTGCATTGGTGTTGGCCCAGCTCGCATGGCATTTGTCCCAGGATGGCCTGCATGGCATTGGTGGTGGGCCAGCCCACATGGTGGTGTTGCAAGGATGGCTAGCATGGCATTGGTGTTGGGCTGGCTTGCATGACAGTGTTGCCAGGGGTGAACTCAGGGGCTGAGCCCATCCATACCTTCTGGGGACACCCAATTCTGAGCTTACCTGGGACTACTCATATTGCAGTGGCTACACCCTAATCCCACAGCTGGCTTGTACCCCATGATGATAATTCTAACCTCTGCCCAGCCATTCTCCATAATGACTCCTACTCTTGGGCTCAGCTGTATGCTATGGTGACACACATTTATTGGGCTCTCCCATAGTCCATGATGACACTCACTCCCCAGCCTGCTTGTAACTGACAATGACAATTCAAACCACAGCTGCACCATTCCTCATGACAACATTTCCTCTCAGGCTCAGCTGTACTACATGGTGACACTCATCAGTTGGGCTCTCCCATACTACAAGGTGACAATAGGTTCATGGCTCTCATGTAACACATGTGCACAAGCCAAACATGGGCTCAACCTCTGCTGGCCCATCACCAACAGCTGATTGTCAGCCTCCACTGACCATCTCATATGGCCTAACCAGGTGCATGGGCTCACCAGCAGACTAGCAGGGAGCCATAGTAGGCCACAGGGGAGTGTTGCTAGAGCATTAACTACACTAGAATAGTGCATTGTAGGGTAGATCCATCCTCATGCATATGCAGACATTTTTTCTAATAAAAAAAATATGTACTTGTAGCTAAGATTTTCAACCTAGACCACTCTTTGATGACCTTTCAATGCAGTTCCCATAATTTATCTGGTTCAACAAGTGGGTGTCACAGTTTTGTAGCAACAGAGGTAATGTCGATGTGAGTTCTGGCTATCCCAGCTTCATTCAACAAAGAAAGTTGATTGTTTTCCTCAATCCAGGAGGGTCCATAGGTCACCTTGTTTACAAGGTCACTCCAGCCCGAAATCAGTAATGTTTTTTTGGTCTGCCATGATTATCATATTTTGGGCCTCAGCATGGTACTCCACAGTTCTGCCAATCTGAAGTATCACCATGGGCAACCTCACAATGCACACACCCCCTCATCTTGCAGCATGAATGATGCCTGAGCCTCTTTCTGACTTCAATCTTTGAGGCAATGTGTTGATGGTGAGCAAAGCCACACCCTGTTCAGGGCTCTCACATTTCCATGTCTTATTGCAGGTTGCATTGTCAGCCCCCCTTATGCATGATGAGAGGGGCCCCCCCTCTGCAAGTCAGTATGTATTTGTTCCTCTCCACAGCCCACCTCATTGCAAAATTCCTCCCACCATGAACAGTATTTCCTGTGCAAGCCCACCATTTCATGTCTGGGCATTTGTCATTGGATCATGCTCTGGCCCTCTCACCATTAGTGTTTGTACATGCACCCAGTGCCACATGGAAATCATTGATGTGCATAACCTCTTTCCCCCTGATTCCATGATTGACTTGACACATGTCTGTGTAGAGGATGACATCTACATCATCTACTTTGATTGGCTGTGCCATGTGGAGGACCATGACAATGCCATGTACATATATGTCCATGTGGCAGAGAACAGCCATCCCCTCACAGTATTTGTCCTGAGGATGAGATTGCAAATTTGTTGAGGTGTTGGACATGTAAGCATCCCTCTTCAGGTTTGGACACATAGGCTCATGTTTGATGCAGCATGGACCAGCAATATCTGGCTGTCATGGCATCAGAGACTCTGTAGTTGTGGGTAAGGCACAAAGATGGTATGGCAACTTTGGCCATGGTTGACACCATCAATGGTGTTGAGATGCTTTGGACACCCTAAGGCTCTCTGTGCAGTATGTATTCCTCTGATGGCAGTATGACAAACCTGGTGTGCACATTGGGCCTCCACTGGCACAACATTTGGCCTGCCATGACTGCCATGTGTATGACTACTGTTGTGATGCAAGCCCCCCATTGATGGGCAATATAATAGTTATTGGTGGCATACTTTTCATGCCATTCCAACCCCTAAAGTGAGCATGCATTCAGCCCCTCTATGCTCCTATGCTGATCTCCTACTAGGTTGGGATACAAAAGCATGTGTTGCATGTGAGGGGCAAGCATATTCAATGTCCACCACCATCAACTTCATGGCCCCCCAGTGGGGCATGACACCTTCATATCTGGATATCATCAACAAGGTTCTTGGGCACTGCAATCTTCTTGGCATGTTCAACCTTGTGTCCACTTGTTGAGCTCATGTGGAGGTGGTGCAGCAACATCTCAAGACCCACACCCAAAACATGGGGAGGGGTTTTTTCGCTGACCTGATTGTCCTGCAAGACATCTTGCACACCTGTGATGGTGTTGTTTTGGGATCTACAGCCTTGCATCTTTTATTGCTGGCCAGCCATACATATTCTACCTTGTGGCTTCCTACCAACCTAGACATCTATGTTCCCTTTTGGTTGGAGAACCTCATAGCCTGTCTTTTGGTTGGTCAGGGATATCATCTGCATGAGCCTGCTTCTGTTGATGTGGCTGTGTATGCAGGGACCTCCATCCATTCAGTACATGCTTTCTCGAAGGGTCACTACAAGATTGATGTCATCATCTCAGTGAATGCTGCCTCCATTGCACCTGTTTTCCAGTTTCACACCACCACTGTCATGAACATTGTCTCTGCAGATTGCATATTCTACACTTATCCTGCTCTTACAATGCAGGCACACTCTCATGTCAATCTCACACTCCTCTATAACAGTGGACTGCACCACAAGGCCATTGCCCTGCTGCAGAAATACATGTCACGTGGTTTCACATTCAAACCATGTGTCAAGTCTCATAGGTTCAGGTATGCATGTCACAACAAGACTTGCACTGTGACAGATGGAGGCTGTATGTGGGTTGATCCAGAGATGTTTCTGTGTGTCACTGTGACACAGCCAGAATTTTTTGGCCATCTGGGCATCCTGGACCTACACTGGATGTTGGGGGGCATGGTCTGTGGGATGGACACTGCATTCCAATGACCATGCATGCTCGTGATCAACAATGAGTTGTAAGTCTGCTCACAAATCTTTGACCTTGTCTCATTGTCTCTGCCCCAGTGGTTTGCTTATTGAAAGAAGGAGTGCCCTTGTAGAGGTTGAAGAGGAGTCTGACTGAGAATTTTTCTCACTCAAGAGACACAAACAATGATGGAATTGTATGTAGGGTGACTGTGATGTAGTGGATGTACTCAGGCTTCTACATGCATTGTTGCCCATCGCTGTATGGACATACAACATGTCAACAGATATTATATTAAATGATCTGCATCAAGTGCACCTCAATTCAATTTTACACACTGTATGACATCATGCCTTTCTGTTTACTGCAATACTCGGTGTTACACATCATCTTCCTTTATGCTACTTACATCTGTAGGCAGTCATCATTAGGGGGTGATGGCATGGATTGCAGTGATCAACACACCCTGTGTGCATTTTTTGATGGCCTGTTGCCCAAACTACTGATGCCACTCTCACCAATCCTGTGCCCTTGCTTCAGTGGATTCACAGGAGCAGCAACTGGCTCCCACAGGACAACCATGTCGCAAACAACAGCTGTGAAGATGGACTTCTTGTCCCCACCAATTGAGTAGTGCATCAGTGCAAAGCACACTTGAACAATGGCACCAGAGAGCTTGTGAGTGTAATCCAATGGGTCAATACTCTCACCATCAAGATCAAAGACTGGAAGAGGAGAGATATTGTGTGTCTCAGCTGCATGTGCCAGTGCCCCTTTCAAGCACTCCTGCACTGGCCACTCCATCATCCTCATCTCTGTTGACAGCATCAGCATCAGCCTTGCCCACTGGTCACTTCAACCCACCATTGTCAATGGCTGTTTCAGGGTCAGTGTCCATGTTTTTGGTCTGGAATTTGGTCTCAGTGTTGTTGTCTCCTGCAAGACAAACAGGTGTACCACAAAAAGCATGTGATTCAGGTGAATGCAAACCTTGCCACAGGCTTCCTGCATGCATGAGAGTACAGTCTCACCCTTTTGTGATGGAATGAGCTTCTCTAAGGCTCACAAGTTAGCCATGACTGCTGGGAAGTCATGTTGGCTTGCACCATATACAGAATCATGCCAAATGGTGATTAGATTGCACACCAGCCTCATGTCAACAAACTCCTTGTTGAATGCATTTCATGGAAAAAAGCCACCCTCAGGTCCCATAAAAAAGCCCTGACAGTTGATTTCAAAGATACCACTGAGTATCATCTTGACAATGTCATCCCCACTCCCTTTAACAACTGCTACATTACCAGATGGGCCCCCCATGAAAAATTCACCTTGACTCATGATATTCAGTGTGGCTGCATAAAATGCCACATCACTCTGCTTCAGATCTTCTACAATTTTGGCTAGTGCCAGGGGCATGCCACTCTCTGTGGAAACCTCTGTTGCATCATCTACTGCATTTGAATCCAAGGCTGCATTGATGGTGGCCATCTTGGACTGCCCTCAGGCTCTATTGGTAGGTTCTGTGCTGGATGTCATGGTCATCATCTGTAAGAGATGCTTGGCAGGTACCCTAAAGGCATGAGGGCATATTTGAACTGTTTCTTTTAAGGGGGGGCATGGAATGTCAAACTCTGAGGGGCATTTGGGGAAAGGGGATGGGGAAATGTATAAAACAGGTGGTAAATCTGTCCCTTGCAAGTCTGAGCACAAATGCCTGAGCTGTGGGGACACCTCACTCACCAAGAAGTACTTGAGGCCATTCCCTCTGGTACATTGTCTCCGAAGTTGCAGAAGTGGGCCAATCTCAGTCCTGCAATCCTTCTGCTTCCTGAGGACATCCAAGAGTGCATTCATCTGGCAGCAGCTGCCAAAGATGACACTGCATTGAAGTGCAAATGGGATGCCAATGCTGAGCAGCAGGCATGGTTCAGAGCAAAATGTCCAAGATGGGGGGTACCCTCTGTGCCAAAGGTGAGCATTACTGAACACAATGAAGTTAATAGTGTGGACATGCACCTGTACATGCAATTGCCTACCATGCAAGAGACATGGAATTGCATTGCAAGATTCATTGACATGACTGGTAATGATGCACTACAACATGCAACCTGCATCATCTG